TAAACTGAGCTTAACATTTTCTCCTTCAAAACTTGCTCCTTTGTCACAATTTCCTACTCACTGAGATACTGGTTGTTGTTAAGTGCCTTCGAGTCGGTTCCGACCCATAGCGACCCTGTACAGGGTTTCCGAGGGTGTAAATCTTTACGGGAGTAGAAAGCCTCATCTTTCTCCCGCGGAGCAGCTGGTAGTTTCGAACTGCTGACCTTATGGTTCGCAGCCCGATTCGTAACCACTACGGTACCATCATTTATCTACTCAGAAACCTCTCCCTTGACCTACCACATCAAATGAATCACTATCCAAATCCAATTAATTTCATTTTCTACGTAATTATGCCTTCATATCTACCATCATGCCTCAAATCCAAGTCTTGTTCCCACCCTCCAACATCCAATTCATGTTTCACACATTAGCTGGAGTGCCCTACTTGGGAAACACTTGTAATCGTGTTTCCCATTTTCATTGATTTAATCATTATCTACTGAGTGCTGACTGATTTAATTATTACAACTGTCTGGCAGACTGATTGGAAGAGATCAATGTTTATGCCCATTCCAAAGAGAGGTGACCCAACAGAATGCGGAAATTATCGGACAATCTCTTTGATATCTCAAGCGAGCAAAGTTTTGCTAAAGGTAATACAGAAACGGCTACAATCATACATTGACAGAGAACTTCCAGAGGTTTAAGCTGGGTTCAGAAGAGGCTGTGGAACAAGAGATATCATTGCTGATGTCCGATGTCTGGCTGAAAGCAGAGAATATCAGAAGGATGTTTACCTGTGCTTTATTGACTACGCAAAGGCTTTCGATTGTGTGGATCATGACAAGCTATGGACAACATTGAGAAGTATGAGTATTCCAGAACACTTAATTGTACTTCTAAGAAATCTGTACCTAGACCAAGAAGCAGTTGTTCAAACAGAACATGGGAACACTGAATGTTTTAAAATTGGGAAAGGTGTGAGACAGGGTTGTATTCTTTCACCATACTTATTCAACCTGTATGCTGAGCAAATAATACGAGAAGCTGGGTTCTATGAAGAAAAACGTGGCATCAGGATTGGAGGAAGACTCATTAACAACCTGCGATATGCAGATGATACAACCTTGCTTGTTGAAAGTGGAGAGGACTTGAAACATTTACTTATGAAGATTAAAGAGCACAGCCTTCGATATGGATTACGTCTCAATGTCAAGAAAAGAAAAATCCTCACCACTGGACCAATAACAACATTCTTATCAATGGAGAAAAGATTGAAGTTGTCAAGGACTTCATTCTTCTTGGATCAACTATCAACACTCGCGGAAGTAGCAGTCCAGAGATCAGACTACGTATTGCACTGGGCAAATCTGCTGCACAAGAACTTTTTAAAGTATTGAAGAGCAGAGATGTCAGCTTGAGGACTAAGGTGCGCCTGACCCAGGCCATTGTGTTTTCAATAGCCTCATATGGATGTGAAAGCTGGACAGTGAATAAGGAAGATCATAGAAGAATTGATGCCTTTGAGTTGCGGTGTTGGAGGAGAATACTGAAAGTGCCATGGAACCAATAGATCTGTTTTGGAAGAAGTGAAGCCAGTGTGCTCCTTGGAGGCCAGGATGGCTAAGCTTCGTCTCTCCTACTTTGGACATATTGTCCGGAGGAAACAATCGTTGGAGAAGGATGTCATGCTGGGTAAGGTGGAGGGTCAGAGAAAAAGAGGAAGACCCCCAACGAGATGAATCAGCCAGGTGGCATCATTGATGGACTCAAGTATGGCAGCGGTAGTGAGGTTGGACCAGGATCGGACATTGTTTCGTTCTGCTGTGCATGGGGTCGCTATGAGTCGGTTCCGACTCGATGGCACCTGACAACAACCACAACTGAGTGCCTATAATGTGCCAGGCATTGCTCTAGGTAGATACTGGGATTACAGTGATATACAAAATAGACAAGACAAGGACTTCTTACTCTTAGGAAGATCCTGTATGATCTTAGCCACTAATATCTTTCTCCCTTGTTCCTAGTTACAACACTTTAGACATACAGATCTGCTTTTTCAGAGTCTTTCAAGAAGTCTGTCCTTCTTGTTGTTTTTAGGTGTCATCCTATTGGTTCCGACTTATAGAGACCTTATGCACAACAGAACAAATCACTGCACCAACCTCACAATTATTGTTTGAGCTCATTGTTGCTGCCATATGTCAATCTATCTCATTGGGGGTCTTGCTTGTTTTCATTGACCCTCCACTTTTCCAAGCATTATGTCTTTTTCCAGGGACTGGTTCCTCATGGCAACATGTCCAAAGTACATGAGATGATGTCTCACTACCCTCATTTTTAAAGAACATTCTGGCTGTATACTTCTTTCAAGACAGATTTGTATGTCATTCTGGTAATCCATGGTACTTTCAATATTCTTTTCAAACACCATAATTCAAATGCACTGATTCTTCTATGACCTGGCTTATTTGTTGCACAACATTCACACATAGGAGGCAGTTGGAAATAACCATGGCTTGAATCAGGTGCATCTTAGTCCTCAAAGTGACATCTTTGCTCTTTAACATTTTAAAGATGTCTTTTGTAGATTTGCCTGATACATTCCAAAATGATTTCTATATTATTTTCAAATGCTAGCTTAACTGTCTCTCTTTTAGGCAAACTCTCTGAACAGCTCAGACTCCTCTGTATTCCTCCTTATAGAACTATTTATAATCACAAATTAAAAAAAAAACAAATGACAGGTATTTTTAAAATCCGTTTCTCCTATCAGGTTTCTCTTGTAAGTGCCAAAAGAACAGGGACATTTCTTGCTCATCCCGGAAGACAGTAAATATTTGCTGCTTGAATGAGTAAGTTAATTCCTGCATTCTGGTAATCCTTTCTATAAGATTCAAAGGCATCCTTTTCAAAGGGAAAACATGAATAGGTCACACTTCTGTTCCTAATTAGAAAATTCTAATTACTTGCTGAATTTTAAGATTTCTTAAGAATTTATGACATTGTTGCTTTGGAAAGTTGAAAAAAACAAAACAAAACAAACTCTAACTATAAAATATAGATGTCATTTCTTATATTTATTCAACAACAAAATTTACTGTCTGCTGTGTACTGAGAAATTATGCTACATACTGGAAATAAAAAGAAAATACACTGTTCTGAAGAAAAGCAATCTAATGGAGTTGCTTTAGTCTAAACACTGAGGTTCCTGGAAAGCTAAACTGGTATACTTTTATTTTCCCAGTTAATTCACTTCATCCACTGCCCCAGTTCAGGTTTTCATCTTCCTCCATTCCTTATCCTTCTCATACTACTCATTCCTTATCCTACTCATATCGACACTGTATGTGGTTCCAGAGGCTGTAAATCTTAAGGGAGCAGAAAGCCTAATTTTTCTCTGCAGGAGCACCTGGTGAACTTGAACTTCTGACATTGCAGCCCAACGCATAACCCACTATGCTACCAGGGTCCCTTATTTATTTTTATTATTTGTATTGTTGTTAAGTGCTGTTCAGTCAGTTCTGACCCATAGCGGTCCTGTATTGGGTTTCCGAGGAGCGGCTGGTGAGCTTGAACTGCCAGCCTTGAAGTTCAAACCAACTTTTCAGTCAAGCGCATTAACCCACAGCATCCCGCCATAAATGTCTTCGAGTAGGTTCCACTAATAGCGACCCTATATAGGGTTTCTGAGAAGCGCCTGGTGGGTTTGAACCGCAGACCTGAGGTTAGCAATTCAGTGCTTACCTACAGCGCCACACCAGGAGTCCAATGGGAAGAAATGGTAAAATCATATAAGTACCCTGGTGTGGCGCTGTAGGATAAACACTGGACTGTGAACCACATGTTCGGTGGTTCAAACCCACCAGCGGATCCTCGGAAACCCTATAGGGGGTCGCTGTGAGTCGGAACCGAATGAGGGGACTTAACAACTGCTCAATCAACATTTGTTCATTGTTAACAACAAAGAAAACATAGCAGCCATCTTTCTGCTTCAAGTTATTCTCCATTAGCTTTTTATCTCTCCCCCCGTTAACAAACTTCTTTTGACATGTGTAAAAAACCGTATTTTTTCATGTTTCAGTCATGTTTTACATGAAAAGGTCACTACAAGCAAGAAAAACTTTGCAAAAATGTACATGAAGTAGCACCTTGACACGCTACTTGTTCAGTAAGAGTTGACAGAACTTTATGCCAGCTTGCGTCTTAAAAGCGACGCTCTTATAGGACTTCCTCAAGCATTCAAGGCGAATAACAATCTTAGGGGCAATGGACTAGTTGCTATTTCCGGGGCTCAGTTCAGCTCAACTCCACAGCTCATCTCCACAGCTGTCATCCGAAGGGACAATGACTTCCAACGTTCCGGTTTTTGTGTGCGCTGAGTCACGGCCGAAGGCTCCGATCAAGGTTGGAGGGGGAAACAAAACAAAACAAAACATGGCATAAATCGTGTGTGTGTATATGTGTAAAGTCTAGTAATTCATTTTCGCCACGCGCTTCCTGATTTCCTTAGTGAGGGAACTTTTTTCTCCCAGCGGCAATGGACTCGCCGGAACCTGCCTCAAATTAAGTCCGTGTACGTCATAAACGCGGCGCGGTAGTTCAGGAGCGCTTTTCCCGTCGTCCTCCGTTCTACTCTCCGCCTCTTCTTCCCTGTCCCGCCCACTCGAGGTTTCGAAGCGCTCCCTCATGCTCTGAGAATTCGGCCAGGCCGCGTGCCTTCCGTCCTTCCCTGTTTCCATTGGTTGGTTACCTGAGCGTGACTACTATTCTGATTCCTAATTGGCTAAAATCAGACGCGTCATCCGCAGCTAGGGGGCGGGGGAGGGACGAAATTGGCGTGAGGAAGAACGGATTGGGGGAGGGTTTCAGGCCTGTCCTCCGGAGCGGCTGCGGCAGCACTGCCGCCGGCCGCCACCGCCTCTGGAACGCGGAGGAGGAGGAGCAGCTCGAGGAGGAGGAGGAAGAGGTGGACCCTAGGGATAGGGATGCCTATCGTTCCGGCTTGGTGGTGAATGTTGAGGAGAGTCACGGTTGCTGCAGTTTGTACCGCTAAGAAGTTCTGGGGTGAGGCCGGGCGGGAGTTCGCGGCGCTGTGGAGAATCGAAGCACGGGGTCGGTGCGAAGACTCTGCTGCCTCCAGACCCTCTTCTCCTCCGACCATGCCTGGAAGGAACAAGGCGAAGTCTGCCTGCAGCTGTCCTGACCTGCAGCCCACTGGACAGGATTTGGGCGAGAGCGGCCGGGTTCCGCGCTTAGGAGCCGATGAGTCGGAGGAGGAGGGACGGAGGGGGTCTGTCAGTAATGCCGGAGACCCTGAGATCGTCAAGTCCCCCAGCGACCCCAAGCAATACCGGTGAGGGAGGAGGCTTGGGCTGCGAGAACAGGGTGCGGGCCTCTCTGTTGTTGCCGCCGTCACTTCTTATCTCCCGAAGGAGCGACAGGGGCAGACTTCCCAAGCCCAAAGCTTCTTGGGTGGAGATGGCAAGGACAGCTTGCAAGGGATGTCACCTAGACGAGTGGGAAAGGCTGCGTTTTACAGGACGTTCCAAGATGTCCGAATGGGAAGGGTCGATCGAGTACTTTTGACATTAGTTAGAGCGGGAAGGCAGGCGGGGGCGAGCGAGTCTCCGAGGAAAGGTGGAAGGCGCTGGAAGCTTTGATTTTGGAGGACGAGGCATCTGAGGGGCGTCGTCTCACTATTCACAAATAAGTGAGGGGCTCTTCTTAGGTGGGACAGGGATGGAGCGAGGGGGTGGAAGTTACGAGGGGGCGGTGGTGCTTTCAGTCAACACTTTGAATCCACGTTGGATTGTCTGCAGGGACAGTTGCCATCACTCGCATCTTAGGGTGCCCTCGTCCCACGAGGATGGATGGTGGCGAGGACTTGGGTCTCAGTGAGCAGGCCTGCTGGCGTTGTGGGTCAGGGATGGGGCTGCTAACCCGCAGGGTGGGTGGTTAAAGCCCACCAGCCCTCATCGAGAGGAAGACGAGGCTTTCTGCTTCTGTGAAGACTGACCTTCTGGGGAACCCTCTGTAGGGCGGCCCCTTTAGTAGGAATCAACTGGATGGCAGTGGCTTTGGTTTGGTTTGGGGTCTGATTTGGTTGAGCCATAAAAACTTAAGGTTTCTGTTCATCCTGAAATTCTCTGCTTTCGGTGTAAGCACGAATCCTCCAACCGCTCTAACTGGTTGGTGACTCAATCCCCACCTGAGTATCTGTCTCCGTTCGAGGTAGCTCGCTTCATAGAATGCCCTGACTGGTGTGTATTTTAAATAGAGATCATTTTGTAAGCTCTTACTGAATAGAGAGCTGAAGAAGGATTCTAGGTCCCAGTTGGTTATAACACCTGACGTTGTAACAGGACAGAACCTTAGAAAGAATATTTTCTGCTCCCCACCCCTATTTGACAGAAACTGAAAACCAGGTTGAGAAAGAAGTCACTTAGCCCAAAGTTTAAGACCGTTCCCATTTCTTCTTTCACTCCAAATCTAGAGATTAACAGTGCACAGCTCTTTACTATATTCTCAGCAGGGTCAACAGATAGCTGTTGTTGGACTAGATTTTCTCATCACATTGGTAGTTGTGTTGGTAAAATATAAATAGGCATGCAGAAAATTTGGTAAAAGGTGCTTAGCTTTTGCTTTCCAGATTAAAATGTTCAATAAAAGCTTCAGTTCTTCCCCCCCCCCCCCATATGTTTCACAATAAGCTAGTATTGAGAGTACTGTATATGCTTTGTATCCTACTATTCTGGTTTAGGTGTATTTCATTTAATGAACTCATTTTCAGCAAATTTGTTTGACTAATGCCATTAATCCCCTGTGTTTTAAATGTTGAGCTATCTTAAATCTTCTGAAATTTTGTGTTGTTACTTGCCATTGAGTTGGTTCTGACTCATAGTGGCTCTATAAAGGGTTTCTGAGGAGGGGGCTGGTGGGTTTGAACTGCCGATCTTGTGGCTTAAAGTACTGAGCTGATCAGACAGCCCCACCTAGGGAACTAGAATAACTTCATAAGTAACAATTTTTTTTTCCCCTTGGGCTCTGGACATAAAAATATGATTAACACAGTTCTTGCTGTCAGGGAACCTAAAATGTATCAGAGTAACACAGATACACTAAAAAAAAAAAAGTGAGGGCACTAAACTTTTCAGGAAGCTACAATGGTGTACTATATTGGGGAATAAAGTAAGGAATAGTAAATTTCACTAGGGAAGAAAGTTAGGAAAGACTTGGAGTGTTCTTTGAATAAGCTGTGTATTTTTACATTTCTGTCATTATGGTTAAATCAGTGTCCTTCGTGTGTGACTTTTTTATTTTAAAAGGAAGAGTTGACTAGAAAAGTCTTCTAGTAACCCTTTCTTTTTTCAAAAGATCAGGCGTACTTTTAACCTGTTTTATATACTAGGGTTCCAGTTAGACTTTTGAAGAAATGGTTTTGCAACTTTACAGGTGAAAAAAATCTAAGGATTAACCTGAAGTTAATTTCTGTAATTAGAAAGATATAAGGCATCTGCATGCCAAAATGCTAAATTATCATTGTAGGCCCCACTCAGATGTTTTCTCTCTGAAGTTTCCCCAGGCAAAATTAATTCCTCATTCACTATATGTAAGGAGCGCTGGTAGCATAGTGGTTATAAGTCGGGCTGGTAACTTCAAGGTCAGCAGTTCAAAACTACCAGATGTTCCACTGGAGAAAGATGAGACTTTCTGCTCCTGTAAAGATTTACAGCCTTGGCAGGCCTATGCAGGATCGCTATTGGTCAGAACCCACTCCACGGCACACCACCACCACTGTAGGTGCATTTTTATAGGACTTTGTACATGGTCCATTATAGTACATGTCACATCATATAATGTATTTATGAATGTGTGAATAAGCACTTGTTTAAAGGGATATTATGATGAAATAATGCCTTGAGTAATTTCTTTACCAGTCTGTATTAAAGCCTGTGGAATTTTACTTCTGTGTATCCATATGTGTAATTTATATTCAGTTCTTTTGAAATGTTGAGCATGCCTGCAGGGCATTTTACATACCTTTTTAAGGGTCCTGTATAAGTGCTCAGTAAGCATTGATGTCTTTCTCTTCTGGAAAAAATGAGGGACTCCCAAGATGGGCACTGTTTTTCATATCTTCATTAGTGTGTGTCCTGTTGAGTAAAAATTCTAAATGGACAGGACTTGTGATGGTGCATTCTTAAGTAGTAAGCTATTTTAGCAATGAATAACACTTTTAAAATAAGTGTAGAACACTTTTCATGCTTAAGTGTTTGTGAAAAGACCTCTATCTTTATGGGGAAGAAGAGAACATATGAAATGGTATCTATATATTCTGAAGGGCAAGCTCTTCTAATTTAAAATTTTGTCAGTCTGTACAAATGAGGATATGGTTACCTTGATAAGTTCTCAATATAGAAAACAGTGGGTGAATGCTGAAAAGGTAGACGTTATTTTATAACATTTTTTGTGTTGTATACTGTTGTGTTCTGATGAACCAGAAGATCACAGCCCTAGTGAGCAGCACATCTTTGAGAATACAAATGACTAATACCAGCTGGCCTCCAAATAGGAGTTGGGTGGCTCATTCTAAGCAGAAGCCTTAAGCAAATCTAAGAAGGCAGCTATATATCAGAAAGACTCCTGGTGTGGCACTATAGGATCAGCACTGGACTGTGAATCACAAGGTCAGTTCAAACCACAGCTGCTTTTCGAAAATCTTATACAGGGTCACTATGAATTGGAACCGACTGGACGGCACTTAAAAACAACATATATTAAGAAAGCAAAAGGACATTTTCTTTTGTATTGGCCAGGAAGAATGTGAGTTTACTTTTCAACTAAAACACCTGGGATAGTAATACTTTCATCAAACAAGTAAGACAGTTTTTATTTGTATTTATAAAAACCCAAATCAAAACCATTGCTGTAGAGGAGATTCTGACTCATGGTGACCCCACATGCTACAGATAGAATTGCTCCTTAGAGTTTTCTTGGCTTAATCTTTTTATAAGCAGGTCTCCAGACCTTTTTTCCATGTTACTACTGGTTGGCTTTAAACCAATAGCTTTTAGGTTAGCAGTTGAATGTAAACGTTTGCGTCAACCAGGGAATTTGTATAGAGCCACATTAATGATATGAACATAGAATTTTAGTGATCCAAGAGCATTCATGTGCTTACTCTTATCCCTACAATTCTTGGATTTTACATGAGTTTGTCTTTGAGTTGAATTTGTACATAAGTTGGAACAGTTAGGTGTTTTTTATATCTAATTTCAGTCAAGTGTTTGTCGTATACGAGAGGGCTTCAAAAAGTTAATGGGGAAATCCATTATCTTTAATTTCATTTTCCCACGAACCTTTGAAGTTCATTTGTATAGTATATAGTGTACCTTTTTATCCATAAGAAACATCAAAGAAACATTTCCAGATACACTGAAACATCTGTAATATAATAATACAACAATAATAATATGTTAATGTATATTGCAAAGTAGTTACTGTTATTATGAACCATTTGTACATACCTCAAAATTTTAATATTATAGGCTTTCTGGGCTTGGGTTTTTTTAATATGTAAGTCAGATGCTCCTAACTCCAGGACTGCTTGTATATATAAATTCTAGGTTCTTGACACCATCTAATCTCTTGAATGCAAAATCTGATAACTAAATACAAAAAAACCTGATTTTGGTTGTACTTTTTTTGTTTTGTATATAACATAGACCTGATGTGAGATCATTTAACAAGTGAGTGCTTTTAAGGCTAAAATACATTAAATCATCTGATTAGTAATATGACTTTAATAAACATACCTTTTTCTGTTATTCTTTAGACTGATTTCTTCAATGTGGGCTGATGGACTGTTAAGAATGAAAAGGACATATATTATTATTATTAACAAAAGTGTTGCTTTTGGAAATAAGCAATTTTGAAAAGAGCTCTATTATCGAAGAACTGAATGATGTTAAGAGTGCTCTTGCTTTTAAGGAGATCATAATCTAAAGTGGTGAATTCAAGCAGATACGGAAGCTAAAATGTGAATGTACTGAATAAGTACTAGATACTACTAAGATTGTCTAGTTAGACTAAGATAGTTGTTGTTAAGTGCCATCAAGCTGGTTCAGACTCAGCGACCCTATATAGATAAGGTTTCTGAGATAGAGATATGTGTAAAGTATGCATTTTTGGTTTTCTGTGTTGTGTCATCTGCATATCTTGAGCAGGTTAATTAATCTGTCTAAGGCTAAGGAACTTTAAGAACACAAAAAATAGAGCAACCTATAAACAACTGAAAAGAGACAGTTGGGAATGGGGGAAAGCAGATGATAACGACCCTTTTTATTATTATTA